CAATATTTTAAGGGGCATTAAATTTTACTATGACTAATGACCAATAAAAGGACTCTTTTTATGAATGTAATTCTACCTCAAGGGAAATGCCCGTGCTTTTAGTATTGATGGGACGCCTACTCCGGCTATTCACGTTACAGTATCACTGTTGTTTAGATAGTTCGCCAGACCTCCACAAAAACTAAGCCAAGTGACTGAAGAGCCACGAGAACACATAAAACAGCCCAAGTTCAAGAGCTGCTCCAATGAGCTTCATCCGAACAGGAGCCAGGAATGATACCAGCTGAGTTAAAGAGTTGCCCTAGAAAGAGTGGATTTATTTCTCGTGCTCTAATTTCAGCAAATACTTCAGGCCAATCTTTTGAAGCTACCAAGGACTACTACATCTCTATCAAATGTATGCTGACGTAGTTATTAGCTGAACTGAATATATTTGAACACATCTGGGTCACAAATAAGACATACAGTCTGTGTTCACCCGTTCTTGCTACTAAAAAAGATCAGGGCTAAGTTTAATCAAAAACGGTTTTCCTCTATAACTAACTGTACGCAAGCTGTTTTTTTCCTACGATACCACTTGGGTGGCAGGGTGGGGGAGGTGGGTTGGGGTGGAGGGGATTTTTAAAAATTTGTTGTTATAATATTGAACAAGGCTATGGCTACTTTTATCGTGTCGATAGCTTCATAAAAACATATGTTAAATTGATGATCAATCAATAGCTACTCTGAACATTCCAAGCCAAGGGGTGCTTTCTCATGACTACCGACCCAGAGACCTCGTCTGCCTTAATGGAAAAGATCGTTAAAACGGAGATCCTATCTCATAAACAACACACGCATTGACGCTGGTGTAAATACCTGCCATGTTTAGGCGGTCTATCTCATGTGGACAATTGCATTTAATTAAAAAAAAGGAAATTTAAAGGTTACGATTAATTATCTTTAATGATCGAACTGATCGTAAATAACCCATAAAATCGACATTCAGTCCACTTCTGCAGGGTTTCTTTAGCGCCAGCGAAAAACACGTACGACTGTTTAAATGACAAAATATTGATTCACTTCTTTCGCATGAAGCTGCTTAAACATCACTTCCCTAGCAGTATTTTATTTTCAAGAACAAACTTAAAACACACCAAAAAAAGTGGAAGACCCCACCGTTATTAAGTACTCAGTGGGGAAATTTTGGTTTAGTATGACAGGACTACGTTTGGTGCAAACTGTCAAATGATATTTGATTCCATTTTCAGACCTTTTACTCTTACCACACCTACAGTTTGACAAACACACGCAGTATAATAACATGCTGTTTGTCGCCGTAATGTAGAAGCCTGGTTTTGATCAGACTCAAACCACCCAACTGAAAGCTATGTCGCCGACTTAGTATGGTTCTTTGGTTAAAAAACTAAATAGAATACATGGATTTGAGAAGCCTATACGATGTGGAAAGGTAGAGGGAAAGAAGAGCAGAGGAAGACATAGAGCAACATACAAAGATGGTTTTTATTTAGTAAGAGTTTTACTGCGCTCGCAACTGCATAAGGTTGCCATTATGACAATTTAACGGCAAACAACATGAGAAAAATAAAACTGAGCTGATCACGAGTGGGGTGCCATGATCAGCAATGTATGGTCCAGAACAGACACCTGAAGAAGAAGAAGAAGAAGAAGAAGAAGAAGAAGAAGAAGAAGAAGAAGAAGA